AAAAAAATTCATAAAAAACATTTTAATAACAAGCTTTTTATGTTATAATGTTCTATAAAGTAGAAAACAAATGATTTTCTTTAAATGCATAATAAAACACTACTATTTAAATAACTATAAAGAAAAAGTTTGTTATTAAAACGTTTTTTATGAATTTTTTTTCAGTACCTTTAATTTCTTAAATGTACAATACTTTTGCATATCTAAAATCCTTTGAGCACCTAATGAACATTCTAACGCTCGTATAATAGTGTGGAATACTACCTACTAATTTCAGAATATATATATTAATTTATACAAGGTTAAATGGTCATCTAATTAGGAAAAAAAATATCATATTGCATTGTCCTCGGCTCTTGACCCACGTGTTGAAATTCAAAGAAATTGATAGGCAAGAAGTGCCCGAAATTTTGCTCTCCTTTTTCGATCTAGGATTAAGATAGACAGAGGAAGCAACGTCAATGAAAACTAGTGGAGCCCTGTTTTTTTTTCAGTACTTTACATTTTTTATTTTTTATAGACTTGCATGACTAAAACCATTGCGCGCATAATGAAAATCATAACGCGCGTAAAATAATGCGAAATCGATGTCTAAGACAGCCTACTAATTTAGACACAATTTTAATTAATTACAAAAATAGTAATTAGGCATCCAATTAAGTCAAATTTAATGTCAGATTGCATTGTCTTCAGTGCATGAACACTTGACAACTTTGAATCTGTCTGTCAGAAGTGCTCGAAATTTCGCTATAGAGTTTCGATCTATGAAGACAGACAGAATTTCGACAGACATACAGGTGAAGTAAGTTACATAAATGATTGTAAATAGAAAGGGTTGAGGTTTGTATGCATATATGTAAATGTAAATAATATGTATGAATGTGTGTATGTTTTGGTGTATGTATGTGAGAAGTATCAGTACATCAGAAAATTAAAATATAACCGTTAATTTTTTTATCTCATTCTAAGTAGACCTTGGCCTTAACTCTAAGATAACTGAAACGTCATAGATGCTGGGCTTTTAAATTACCCATGATGTTTCTTAAAATACATAATGATATGGTTAGAAAAATATATTGCTTTCTTTATTAGAAAAGAAGGCGAAATTAATTAGCATTTTTAAAATGTGATAATGCAGATTTTGATAGAGCTGCATACACTTAAACGCTGTAAGTTTGAAAACATGCGAAAATATATACACTTCATGAGCAAAAGAGTGGCACCTAAAGTACTCAATGATATAGTCCCTGAGATATTTGGTCTAGATAAAAAAAACTGTTGCGCAAAATAATTCATAAAAGAGAATACGATTTATAATGGTGGAGTAAAATACTCAAGTATAAGTATAGATAACGTGTTATGTACTATATCGTTTTTTTATTGGACCGAAAACTTAATTTTATTTAAGTAATTGTGAGGTTTTTGTAATGTGAGTATTTTTAAACGTGGAGTCCAATGACAGTATAATTATGAAATGCTCAGTGCACTAATGAGACAGTAATCTGACTTTGGTGATGACAAACCTGTAACAGAACTCCTATATATTACTATATAAGAAAAGGTACTTTATTTGAATATTAAGAACATCTTGAAGGTCGATTCGGTCGGTTTACAATAAACCGGTAGTACCGTAGACAAGGGCAAATAAGTAAATTAATGCATAGTAATACGAAAAACAAAACGTGACGTCACATAGGACATATAGTAGGAAATAGTGTAAAGCCGGAAAAGTACACACAATAATATGACGTCATTGATTCTCGAGTAAACAATGAATTAAAAAGCCAATATTGTCTAAATTTAAAAGTGGTTTACGTGCAGTTTCTTTAATGCATCTCTTCGGGTGGGGGCAAATCTCTTCTCTCACCCTTCTCGGTAGAACACTATCTCCATGAGTGAGGTTTAGCGGTATAAAGTAGGAAACGGATCTACATATAGAAGTAGGCTCTACCTTTAGTCTGTATGGTCTACAAATGCAACCAGTGTTTATTTCAGATTTTTTCGCCCCTGGAGGCGGGGTACTTGAAATTTTCTGGGGAGGAGTCGGACACTGGAAAAATTATAATTTCTATATAAATTCTATTTCGTTGAAGGGGATGGTAGTATCGGGGTGGGTGGTGTGGGCAGAGCCCACTTCCCAAAAACCCCTACTCTCACCAGTGTTAATGTGATCCACCCAAGGAAATTTTCTAATCTTAAAAGTGTTTTTTTGTGTGCAGAGTTTCTTTCATGCATTTCTCGGGTACAGGTGAGCCCCCCCCCCCCGCCCCATCCCCTCCTTTGTAGAATTTTATTCGCCTCTGCAAAAATTCAAGTGCCCCACCCCAGAAAAAAATCTGAAACCTTTTTAGTTAAGCAAATTTATTAATTTCTTGAATATTTTAAAATATTTTAAGTTAGAATAATGTGTTTAAATTGTATAGAAGATGAGATAGTGTGTAACTTGTGCTAATGATATAATTCTATACCGTATTAAAGTTAATTAGTTTAATTTTGGAATTGTAACGGTAGAAGAATCACACTTTCCTACCAGGAATAGGTTTGATAAAAAGCTAAATATACTAAAAAAATAATTTAAGTGTGTATATGCATACATGAAAATATACATAAAATGTATGAATGTGTGTATGTGCAGAGGCGTAGCGACCCCTCCCGGCGCCCGGGGACAAACTTTCGAATTGCAGCTCCCCCCCCCCCTCGAACTTTTCATTTGCACCCCTCCTCAAACTTTCGATTTGCACCCCCCCCCTCGAACTTTTCATTTGCACCCCCCTCAAACTTTCAATTTGGCGCCCCCCTAAGGTCGGCGCCAGGGGATATATGTCCCCCCCCCGCCCCCCTCCCATCGCTACGCCTCTGTGTATGTGTTTAAAAGATGCATCAAAAGTCCCTTTTAATAACTTCAGCCTGATTACAATCGTAAAATACGGGCCACAAAACAATGCATATCGTTACAGTGATTCGAAATTTAATTGATATATTCTTTGTAAACTTACCACTTGCTTTCTATATATAATGTGTATGGTAATGTGGCTAATTTTAATAAACATCTTAATTTCCAGCTTAATTGTGTCTAATTTACATCAACACACATATAAATCACTACCATATCCAAACTTCCAAATGGCACATTCTTTCCACTTACAGTTATTTGTTATATTTGCAGGAAAATCGCCGTTTTATTAGAAATCTGTATCATACACTTAAATAAAGGAAAGTATATAAACTATTCTACCACGACAACAGTCAATGGTTTTTATCGTCCTGCATCTTTACATAAACATAAGGTATAATCTCTACAATTTGTCATTTGAAATGCGGAACATAAGAAAAAGTCAAGTATTTATTTGTAAACCTGATAAACAGAAAAAAACAATCCCAAGTTTCTGATTGTAATTAAATTTAATTCGCTTTCATTTGCAAATGGTGTTGGTCGCCAAATAGGGATCCGTACGTTTTCCCGAAAGACACTTGCCGAATGTCGTTTGCCTGAAGACCGATTTCCCGAATTGACATTTGCCCGAATGATGAAACTGCCCTAACGGACACTTGCCCGAATGCAGTTTGCCCGAAAAAAAATGCTAAAATTAAATGATAAATTAAAATACCAAATAGACATTCTCAATCAATTCAAGTTTGAAGTTTTGATAATAAACACAATTATAAGAATAAAAATAAAGTTGTTTCTATTTTTACAAGCTTTAATTTAACTCACTTCTCCGTCAGTCGTCAGTCTGTCGTCAGTCTGTCGTTAGTCTGTCGTCATTCTGTCGTCAGTCCTTCGTCAATCTGTCTAGATCGAAACGCCCTAGCGAAGTATTTTATCAAAATCGTAGATCCGTATCAACTTATGAGCGATTTCCGATAACAGGAAGTGGTACTTTTTCTACTTTGAATTTTTCAAAAGCCTATAACTTGAGTACTATTTCAGATAGATAAATGAAATTTCACATGTAAGTAAAAGATCTAATTCTCTACCTTCTGTTAAATTTTGAATAATTTCCATTTACCGGAAGTAGTTATTTACGCTACTTTCGGTTTCTCCAAAAAACTAATGTAAATTTTTAAAGTACTAATAATATTGCGTACTATTATGCACTTTTTTATTTGGCGTTCAATTGGTGTGCAATTCTTTTGTCTACGAGATTTTATTCTATTTTTAAAACTTTAAGTATTTAAAATGGATCAAAATCATGTCTATAGCCCCTGTTGTTTATATAAGAATATTCGAGAAAGTTTAGTGGAGATCACTCCCGGTTTATTTGATCATTTTGTTCAGCCAACATGTTGCGGTGGTTATTTAGCGTTTATGACACGGTGTAGGCAAGCGGCGTCTCGCAACAATGAACAGAGGCGCGTTTGTATGATTAACCTTGTTACGCTTAACTTTTGTGGTGATTTCGCAAAAGAATGAGGTGCGGTCTAGGCGGCGTATTCAAAAACTTAAGGTAGTAAATTATATCAATTTTGAACTCCAATTAATGCACCTTGTTTAAACAAGTTGTCGAAGCGATTACTTAATAAGGAAAGTAAGATTTATTTTAAATACGCGAGATAAACGAAAACTGTATTTTTGTCGTGTTTCATAGATAGAAAGAAAATATGATTGCAAACTTTTTATATAGCAAATGCACATTAATTCATAATTTCTGCTTGGCAATATATATTATTATATTTTCCCGTTCAATTTGGTTAGATATTAATTGATTATCAAAATTTCAAAATTAAATTGATTAAGAATGACTATTTGGTAATCTATAATGTTAACATTTTTCAGGTCTAACGGCCTTTAGGCAAGAGGCTTTCGGGCATTCGGACAAATTTCGCATTCGGGCAAACGGCTTTCGGCCAAATGTCTTTCGGGAATTTGTCGTAGACCCCGCTAAAACGTTGAGTCACCAGTAGAGAAAAATTTCCTCGTAAAATAGGGGAGAAAAAAAAATTTCTCTAACTATTGGTAGCGTATATAGCTTGTAAAAACAAAGTGTTTATTATAGAATTTAGGCATATCGTTACTAAACAAAGTGTGGCACGTTCAAGGCTCTAGCTACAACTAGAAAAATAATATTACTGTAGTGTGGAAACTGTTCTTTTTAAACTGAACATGCTTTAAATAATTATGTCTCCACAAACAAAAACTTGACAGTGAACTCCTTGGACATCCCGTAGATGTATGTCACCGTTGAGGAAAAATTCCAAAATATCTATTTAAACAATGCCTCGCCGCGACAAATCATTTGATCGATTACATTTGCTTTTCTATAATTTTCTATTGAACGTGATGACGCGTGTGGTGTGGTTTGATAGACATGCCTACTAATTCGGTCCAAATTTTAATTAATTCATAAAAAATTAATTAGGCATACAATTAAGTCAAATTTAGTTTCAGATTGCATTGTCTTCATGTCTTGACCCACGTGTCAAATGTGAATAGTATCGGTCAAGTAGAAGTTTCCGAATTTTCACTCCTACGTTTCGGTCTAGACTGACGACAGACTGTCGACAGAGGTCGTGAGTTAAATAAAAGCTTGTAATAAAGCCACAAAGCGTTGTCGAACACAATAACCAAAAAATCACCCGTGGCAAACCACAAAACGGGAACAGAATGACAACGATATAAAAGCCCGCAAGTAGATGGAGATCGAGCATACCCTGAGAAAATTAAAGTTGGTCGACAAAAGCAATATTTGAGAATGGTCGTGAAAGGAGAAGCAAGGTCTTCTGTGCTTACGTGGGCTCAACTAAAGAGAGTTGGCCAAAATACCCGGGCGCGAGATTGAACTTTATATCCCAACTAGTAGTTGATCATAGTTATAATATAATATTTAATTTCAACGAAGTATAATTTTGTGGGAGATTAGGAGGGACCACGACCTGATTTAATTCGTGATTTAAGAAAAAAATTTTTTCCGTTGATATTTTGTGCTATATATAGTAAAAGTTTATATTTAGCACAGGAATTTAGAATTCAATGAAGCATAAATTTATATTAACATAGGTGCTTAAGGAAAAATGCAAACAATTAAAATATTTTTTTATTTTTGTTTGCGACGCAAAATAAGACACTTATTAAATCTCAAATGTGTTTTGAAAATATATAATATGTAATGCTAATTATAATTTAATTAAAGTCACAGCGTCGTGCAGATCACTTAATATTTGAAAATATAAAACATATTTTTAGTCTTATCTATTCCTTTTTTTTGAGCACATAATCCACTGTACTAGCTGTAGCGGCCATACAAATAGCACCTCCAATTGCACCCCCAATAGCACCAATGGGACCACCTAAAACTAAACCGAAAATAGCTCCCTCTACAGCTCCTCCAATTATAGCACAAGTTCCAATTTTCCCGAATACATCTGCTAAATACGATACAAAATCTGATAAACCTAAAAAATAATTTCCAGTTGCTTTCGTTTTTATTTCTCGATACGTCCTTTCTTGATTTTCTAGCTGACGATTAAGTTTGTCCATTTGTTCTTCTCGACGTTGTTTAGCATCGGCCCTTTCTTTTTCAATTTTATCTATGAAATATTCAAACTCTGCGCTCCTCTCATTTTCCAATTTTTCCTCAGTTGTTTTAATTGTTTCCCTCTCTCGAATCACATCCTCACAGGACTCGATAAGATCTTTAACAGTTGTTCTACACATCTGCACATTTTCCAATAAAAATATTAAAGCACCCGTTCCTTTATCCTTAGTTTCTATTTCTTGAATTAAGTTTTCAATGTGAGACAAAAGCTGCTTAAACAGGTCAATTTTCTTTTGTTCACCAGGTTCACTTTGAATAAGATTTATTCTGTAAAGGATTATTTTATGTTGCACTAGTGTTTCTTTTTCAATCATAGGGGCACTGGCCGTTACATACAATCGATTGCGTTCATTTTTAGCTGCTTTAAAATGTTCATTTGTGTATCTTTTACCTTTAGATGGAAGTTGATCCACCATTGTAACTAAATCTTTCACTTGTTGGTATTTTACAGCTTTATCTCTTGTTGTATTATTGAACAAGACAATTCTACCTTCGCATTCTATCAATAGATTTTTAAAAAATCCATCTTGTTGGGAGCAATAATCTTCAAATGTTAAATTTTCGTTTTCATTATCAAAATCAAATGTGTCTCCCCCGCACATAACTATTATTCCAAATTTTTAAAGAAATGATTGTCCTAATATTCCTTTTAAAATATTAATTGCTGTTTGCTCCTCTGCAGTGTGACGAACGCCGTATTTAACAACAAGCAAAAATGCATGAAATCCTTCGGGATTTAAGACTAAAGCTTTAACAATTGCATTTACAACCAATTCTATTGCCTTCATTTCTTTAGTATCTGTTTCATTAGTTCCTGGAGCATCAACGACATCTATTATTCTATCTTCAAATTGGCAAACTTCAAACTGGGCGTCCTTAGTTACTGAAGTCATGGAACCAGTTGATTTGAATACTTTACTTCCAATTATAGAGTTACCAGTTGAGCTTTTACCGTTTCCAGTTTTTCCAATTAAAACTAGGTCTGTTTTCTTTGATGTGTCCATTTTAACCTTAAAATAAAATAAAAAACAACAATTAGTGATTTACCCATTATTGTTCCATAAAACAACTCTAGAAGTAATTTTGTTTATGATGTCCACTATAATATAAATACATTTTTCTACTCCCAGTCACTCACAAACAGTATCGAATAATTCTTTATATACTACTTTAATTAAATTTGGTACTAATCCAGCGTTTTGATTGCAAACAACCGCACGGGCTATATAGTAACTTAGATTATCTGGATAAAAAAATGTGTTAAAATAATTCATAGATATATATATATATATATATATATATATATATATATATATATATATATATATATATATATATATATATATATATATATATATATATATATATATATATATACATATATACATAAATATGTGTGTGTGTGAGTGTGTGTATATCCTTATATTCTATAGCCCATCATATTCATTGAACATTATTACTAAAGTATAAATGGAAAAGCTCTATGCCTTGTACGCGCTTAATTACGCTTTATATACGTCATTTACATTCCTGTCTTCTAAATGTTTAAAATATAGCAGTTCAGAAACATATTCAAATGAAATGTTTCAAGCTTTACCATCGTCTAAGGAGGAATACGCATTTGTTTGACCGAAAATTATACAACAAATAATTTCATTACAGTAGGTGGGACTGAGAAAGATGACTGTTTTCTAGCAGATCTACAAGAATTAGTGCCAGGCATGTGAAAAAAATAACAAAATAAGACAACATCAAGAAATGGATTGGTATAAAACTGAGAGGCACCAACGTGGTAACCCAACGGTAAGCCTAGATAACGTGATAGAAGAAGAAGAAATGTCCCTGTTACAAGTTAAAAATTACTTCTAGTTTTGATTAATTAAGATTTCTTTTTGCGTTCCTCGTAATCCAAGCAAAACACATCAAATGCATTGTCTCCCGTTTCCCATAAGTTTAATATTTCAAATTAAAAATAGTTTAAATTTTGGCAATTTTTACCCTAATGACAGTTTTAAGGGTAAAACTATTTTTTAAATTGAAGAAAAAATTATTGCATTTGTATTAAAGCCATATGTTTCAATTTCTTTTTAAAAAGTAATTTAACTCTAACAATATGTAAAGTAGTGCTTACCTTTCCGCTATTTCAAAACTAAACGACGACCTTGGATTGTTTAGATACCAAGGAACTACTTTTCTAATATTTGAATGCAAATTCACAGAAAGTTATATTTTCCATGAAGCAGTCTGTTTCTTCGAAATAAAGTAATGAAAAAGTGATCTAAATATAACACAGGGTTTTACTGAGGTAGTGAGCATAACTTAAATGTAACAGATTGTGTCGCAGCTGTTGAACGCTCTTATAATGGTGATTACCTCTACATTCATACTTCGATTCTCTCCCTTTTCTCTCTCTCTCTCTCTCTCACTCTCTCTCTCTCTCCAGCCGATCAAACACTATTTTCTATGAAAGACTCAATGAAATTATCAATGACAGAGTCAATGATAACTACCGCTCTCCTGTATTTTTCTCTCGAGAAACTCAATGATAAAGCGTTTGTAGTTATAAAGAGAGAGAGTTTATCAAAACGGAAATAATTCAACTCGTTTAATTAATAAAGCGTTAAACGTAATTATTAATTTTAATTTCTCAGCGAATGATACAATTGTTTAGGGACAGTTAAACTATTAAAAGATCATGGATCTTCATTTATAATTTATTAATTAAAATAAGATTTTTAAAAAATAATTAAAACAGGTCTTTGTACTATATAATTAAAAAAAACCAACTAATGAATATAATAAATAATTTTGACTATTTCTCATTCTAAACCTATCGAATATCTTTTTTTTAAATGCAAGGTAATCTTTAATAGAACCTACAAGATTAACTTTTCTTCTAATAATAAAAAAAACTCTAAATAAAAACTAATATTCCTACAAATATTAGAGTAGTCTCCCTTCTCAGTTTCTATTCGAATGTATTTTGTGTTAATTTTCGTTATGAAATACAGTTGACTTTTTAAATTAATTATATAAGAAAACAATCTATCTCTGTGTATATTTATTTTAAAAAATATTATTACAATAATTAGAATAGATGTTTCTTGTAATAGATTGAAATAATTGTGAGGTCAAGGGAACTCACTCTTCTGTATTAGTTATATTTATAATATTGTTATCTTGAGTGATGTCCCTTGTGCACTTCCTTCGGTCCTCTCTGTGTGTTATCATCGTGGTAGTTAGACCCATTAAATGTGTTATATACAACCACAGGCTTCTGTCGTCAATCTATTATAACTGGCGACGAAGGATAAACATCTACTAGAAAGAGCACCTACTTACGCAAAAAAGAGGTTTGCTAGAGCTTATTAGCTAATTATTTCTAGAATTATGGCGCTGTATGGCCAAATAAAAGAATTTGATGCGAATGATGAAATCATTCAAGATTACCTAGAGAGGTTAAGCTTTTACCTAGAAGCTAACGACGTGACGATAGAAGCCAAAAAGAGAGCTGTTTTTGTTAACAGTCATAGGGCCTCAACAATTTAGGCTACTAAAAGACTTATCCGCGCCAGCTAGTCTAACTACCAAGAGCTTTAACGAGCTGAGCAAATTGCTAACAGACCACCATGCGCCTACCCCATCAAAGTTTCTATGTCGAGCTAGATTTGACAGTAGGACTCGTCAACCAAACGAGTCAATATCAGAATATGTTGCTGCTTTACGTCATTTAAGTAGATTTTGTGAATTCGGAGACACGCTGTCTGACAGATTATGTGAAAAGTTTGTGACAGGTGTAAACAGCCCTGATATTCAAAGAAAGTTGCTGCTCGAGTCAGATCTAAAATTGGAAAAAGCAATACAACTCGCAACTTCAATCCAGCAGTCATCAGATGCGGCGAGATCTTTAGCACCTTCAGAGATCCATGCAGTAAACAGCAGGTTAGTCAATAAACATCAACCCCAACAGAGCATTCCAACTTATGCTAAACAGCCTGCTCATTCAAATCCTAGATCTAAATCTAGTAATAATTATCAAAAATGTCATCGATGCAAAGGTCCCCATGCATCTCATCGGTGCAAGTTCAAGTCTGCAACTTGTTATAAGTGCAGTAAGCAAGGTCACATTGCCAAGGCCTGCTTCGCAAAGTCTTCGTCTGTTGCTAAATCTAGCCAGTCAAGACAGTACAGCAACCAAAAGCAGCACTATGTTAACTCTCACCAAGACTACCTAACCCAACCAATGAACCACTCTACCTGTGAAAATGCTTAAACTGATTCGCAGCCGGATTTCAACCTGTTCTCTGTGAAATCAATAAGTCATGCTCCCATCAATGTACAAGTTAATATCAACGGTAAGAGCATCAGCTTCCAACTTGACACTGGAGCATCACTAACAGTCATCACAAAGAAAGATTTTGTCGCTGTCACAGGAGGATCAGTGTCTCTACAGCCGTGTCACAAGTGTCTAACAACATACACTGGTGACAATGTTCCGGTAATAGGAGAGTGTATGGTTCATGTAAGTTATAATGGTCAAAGTGTTAAACTTCCTCTTCTTGTGGTTGAAGGAAATGGACCGCCATTACTAGGTAGGAACTGGTTAAGTGATCTTAAGTTAAATTGGGAGAGTATTTGTTCATTGAAGAATGTAAAAGAATCTAGTCTTACTTCACTAGATAAAGTTATATCTGAAAATAAATGTGTTTTTGGTAATTCAGGTTTACTAAATGATAGAACAGTGAAGTTAAGCATTAAAGATACAAATCCAAGATACTGCAAAGCTAGAGTTCCACCTTATGCAATGAGGAATAAAATTGAAAATGAGCTAAGTAGATTGGAATCTAATGGCATTATAAAGAAGGTAGACTATTCCGATTGGGCGACACCCATTGTGCCAGTGTTAAAGAAGGATGGTTCTATAAGAATTTGTGGAGATTATAAAACTACACTGAATAAGCAAATAGAGCTAAATAGGTACCCTATACCTAACATTGAGGAAATTTCTTTGAATTTGGCAGGAGGAGACAAATTCACTGAATTAGACTTTAGTCATGCTTACACTCAACTAGAACTGCATCCAGATTCAAAAGTCTATACGACAATAAACACACATAAAGGACTCTACCAATATGAAAGACTATGTTTTGGCATATCATCTAGCCCTGGAATTTTCCAAGCTGTCATGGACAGTATTTTTAAGGATATTCCAAATGTTTGTGTGTACTTTGACAATGTGTACATAACTGGTAAGAATGACACTGAACATCTTAAAACACTTGATAAAGTCTTGAAAATTGTTGGTGAAAAAGGTTTAAAGATAAACAAAGATAAATGTCAATTCATGCTGACAGAAATTAGTTTTCTTGGTTATATATTGAGCAAACAAGGCATCAGACCTCAACCTGAGAAAACAAAAGCCATTAAAGAAGCACCCAAACCTGAAAATACCCAACAACTAAGAGCTTTTTTGGGCTTGATAAATTACTATGCAAAGTTCATAGGGAATCTGTCTGGTAAACTATCACCACTGTACAAGCTGCTACAGAAAAATGCAACTTGGCACTGGGGTAAACAACAAGAAGCTGCTTTTAATACAGCAAAAGAGGCTTTGTCTGCTGACACCTTACTAACTCACTATGACCCAGGGAAAAGACTTATATTAACATGTGATGCTTCACCAGATGGTGTAGGAGCAGTCTTGTCCCACATGGATGAGAAGGGTGACAGACCCATTGCTTTTGCCAGTAGATCTTTGAACCAGGCTGAGAAAAATTATTCTCAGTTAGATAGGGAAGGCTTAGGCATCATTTTTGGTGTTAAGAAATTTCATAAGTTTCTGTTTGGTAGGAAGTTCACCATCTTTACAGATCATAAACCATTGCTAGGTTTATTTGGAGAAAACAAAACCCTACCTGAGCATGCCTCACCAAGAATTCAAAGATGGGCTATCACACTAACTGCATACAATTATGAATTGAAATACAAACCTGGATCTGAGAATAGTGCAGATAGTCTTAGTAGATTACCTTTAAAAAACCAAAGCCTGAGCTATGTACCAGAAGATGTATTTGTTCTCTTCACTATCATGGATAATTCTAATATAAATGTGAATGATATTAAAAGAGAAACACAAAAAGATGAGTGCTTAATAAAAGTATATGAGTACTGTGAGAATGGTTGGCCTGAAGAGTCTGTGAATGATGACTTAAAGCCATATTAAATAAGAAATAAAAACCTTTGTGAAGATAATATAAAAGATGGAGAAGATGCAGTCCATTATCAGTCAGAGTTGCCTAAACAAGGTATTTGTAACTTAATACATGATTGTGGTGATATGGCAATTTCAAATGTTTTAAAGAGAATACATTAGTAAGAAGGAATGTGATCATCAAACAACTTTGCTAACATCATTAGCACTTACAGAAACTAAAAGGGTAACATCAAAAGAAAAGAAAAAAAGATTTTTGCCATTTAATACACCCATTTCAAATACTGGATCACAGTTGCAAAGTGATATTGTCCAGGATATTACTTTTAAACAGTATTTTTGGTTACCAGGAAAGCACTATCAGATTACCTGAGAAAATTGATCAATCAAAGAAATCTATGTCAGTTAAGGATCTGAATAATAGCATAATACTTTCAGATGCCAATTCAAAAATAGTTCATTAAATCATGACAAACATTCATTGAAGAGAATTTGGTGTTAATAAGAATGTGTATCTAAGAAATTATGGGAAAAAGGAAAAATGGATACCAGGTCAAATTGTTCAATGTACAGGACCTGTGCCTTATAAAGTTAAAAATAACTTGTGCAGATAATAAGTGTGAATCTATCAATCCCACCAAATCTGAACAGTTCACACCAACTCAGTTTGTTCCACAACCAAGTTCTGTTGATATGAGTGAACCAAGTTGTCTGGAGTCAGAAAATGTAAATTCTGGAGTTAATGATTTAAATCCTAGACCTCCTGAGATAGAGAATCCAAATGGTCAGAATATTGAGTCACCAAATCAAAAGCTACTGAGAAGGTCAAGCAGGACAATCAAAGTCCAAAATAAGTTAGACCTATGATTTTAAAGGTCAAGAGGACTTTGACATTATTGTTTTGTATCTTGATTATGTTGTGGCATATTGTGCATTGTTTGTAAGGATGTAATCTACCATAGTGTTTATGTTACAATATAATTGGTGATTTTAGGATACTATCAATTGTTCTATTGAGAGATGTGTTATTGTGTTCTAAGGGTA